GAAATTAGTAAAAAAAAGGACATGCTGAATAAGTGGTTTTAAATGGCACTCCTAAACATGAATCTGAATGGAAAATGTTTACAGCAATATTTATTATTTACTGCTAGAATGACAGTGTACTCATGATCTCCTAATTTTGCTCACAGTTTGTTCTCACCTTTGGCTCTCCTTAGCTCTAATGCAGCACATGATTAATGGCTTGCTCTAATCCTGTCTGCCCTGTACCTCTCATGATACACAGCTACATACTGCTGAAGGATAAGCCTATTTTGGACAATGTTGGAGTAGACCTACATTGTGCATACAGGGATGAAAATGCCAAGACTTATTTAAAGACAGTTATTTCAAGATGGTAAATGCCAACCTCACCTGGACAATTTTCTTATCAGACATGCCAGCCACAAAGAGGTTCTGTTTGTCCTCATCTGGATTGAACTTGACACAGTAGGGAACCTTTCTGTTGGTGAAGCGAGAGATACATTTGCCTGTGAAGGGAAGGAAATCGAAAAGTCAGAGCTTCAGAATAAACCAGCAGCTTTCCATAAAAAAGCACTTTATTGTTAAAAGGCATCATGTTTATAGAATTTCAGAAGATAGAAGTATCAACTGTTTTAGTTTATTCCATTTGTGTATGCTTAGGACATTGGGTTTAACCATTGTCTGCCCTCTGCTGGACAGGGAGAATTGTGCAAGAGGGGTAATCATTGAAGAAAGTATCACACAAACTTATTGACTTATTGAAATTCATTTAGCAAAGCTTAAATTTAATATTTTAAGGATTTTCTTGTATTATAACTTGTAAATAATATAATGTCAAGCAGATCTCAAAAACATATTTTAAAAATCTTCATAAACAGAAGAAAGAACTTTGAGTTATCAAAGGAACATCACATTAAAGTCAGTGTATCCTACCTGTTTCTGAGTCCCACAGTTTCAGGTAGCGGTCATAGCCAGCACTAAGAAACTGTGTGCCGGCATTATTGAAGCAAATGTCTCTCACTGCTTTACTGTGCCCTGTTGAAATCAGATGAAGACACACATGCTTGATGAGAAGCGTCACAATAAGGGACGAGATAGAGTAAGAATGGGCCTTTTGTCAGTCTAGTCCCGAAGCATGCTACCCCTTAGGCTTTTTCTTCTAACATGTAGGTGAAGTGGGGTCCCTCCAGACTGCTTCCCTCTTTCAGGCTGAGGACCAAGCTGTTCCAGCAGTGATAACAGGGACAACAGAGGAGTGCAGTTGCCAATTTGTTTCTAGCACTAGAGCAGGCTAAAGCAGTACACAAACTACACACTTCTAAAAGCTGTGGATGCGTGTCTGTTTTGGTCCCAAAGAAAACATGCACATCCTCCATGAAATGATATAAAATAAAGTGCAAGTGTCCTTTTAGAGCAATGACAATGACAAATGCAAATAAAGCATGATGAGTGAACCTCCCAGTGGCACAATTGCAGTAAGGCGATGGAATCCAGAGCAATATATTGATTTCACATTTGTTACTGCACTCATTAACCCTCTTAAAGACAACACGCTTCTAACAACAATGCCACTGAGACAAACATGTTTAAATAATCAGATAAACATAGTATGGCCCATGCTTTGCTCAGGTATGTCACAAGATCAGTAATGAAATCCTTAATCTTTCCACACTGCAATGAATTATGCTTCCAATTAAAAAATTGTGATTATAAAGGGCACAATATTGTATGAAACAAAAAATAATATTTGTTTATTAACCAAATCATTTTGACATCTCTATTATGCAAAGGCCAATTTTTTGGAACACACCTTTTCAACCCCACAAACCCCTGAGCCACCTTCTCTTTTCAGCTGGGCCTCTGCTCTATTTGCCTGAGCTCACCGGGGGCTTCCTCTTGGCCCTTGGTTTCCTCGCAGCCTGCGAGTGCTGTTGAATTATGCATATTCTGTGAAGGAGCTGACAAGCGGAACGGCGGCCACAAACAATCTCTATTCTGACAGTGAGCCGAGCTGTGAGGGTGACCTGCCTGATCCTCCTCAAGCCTTTCCCATTTCAAAGAGCGCACGTGTCTTCATTGGTCAGCAAGCATGTTATTCTGTGTTCAATAATACAGTCACGAGTGTCATTGGGGCCCATTTCCCACAGGCTCAGTGCATTTGAGCCCTGACATGCCAAACCAAGGTGCATTGACTTGTTACCTGTCAGCAAGTACTGGAGAGGTATAAATTTAAATAAATAATGTGCTAGATTGCTTACTTACCAATAAAGGTCCGTATACATCTTCTTTCCCCATACACCTCCCATAACTACAAAGAAAAACAACACCCATAATGCATTAAATATGCCCTCATTTGAATGACAAACCATCTCAAACAACACTACAAGACTAATTACACAACCTTTACATGTTGGAACCATGTCTAAAAGACTGTTTGACAGAAAAAAAAATTACCTTAATCTTGCAGTCCATAGAAGAGGACAAAAGCAAATGACCCGAGCCTGGAAACAGTCGAATAGCACTGACTCCCTGGAATACATAAAGGCTCAAGTTAATAGGTTTATAATCCTGGCTCTTATCATGAAAACGCTTGTAATTTGCAGGTCATTCTGAACTGAATCGTGGCATTAAAGAACTGATTCCGTTATAGAGTCCGGGTTTGGGTCTGTCTCTAAACTTTCTTATATAATTGGGACATTAAAATATTCACAAAACTTTTTGGTGAGACAGGAGAGGCTATCCATTATCTTGACATCAGCACTTCCATGCACTTATTATCTTTTCAAACCTCTTTGTATTTCAAGTTCTGAAGGCTGTAGTTTCCCATCTCCGCAAAAATGACAGAACTCAATTTAAATCTCAAGAGATTCAGCCTTACCTAAGCAGACAAGCACTGACACAGGAAATGTCAAAGCACTTAAAAACATTCTAATATTTGACTTGAAATTTTAGGAAAACTGCTCATTAGCAAGGTGCAAAACACATGTTATTAATTTCAGTCTTTTGCCACTGACCTTTGTGTGTCCAGACCAAACATGGATCTGTTTCTTTGGAAGATAACACTTCTCAGGAGGCTCTGTAGAGCGCAAGTTAACACCCACATCCTGGGGAATGTGGAGGTAGGACCTGCCCTGGTAGTCAAACATGTCCTTGACTGTAGAGAAACTGTTTGTTAGAAAGACAGTAATGGGCTGATTGATAAAACAACAATAAAGACCACCACATTACCATGGAGAATAGTCTTCTCTTCAGCTGGAGCCTCTTCCTCAACCCTGCCCCTCTTTTGCCTCTTTGCGAGGTATTCTTCTAAATATTTCTTCTCATCCTTTACAGAAAAGTCACACATAAAAAAAAATTGCATACAAATTTGTGATTACAGAACATACATGTAAACAATAATTACCTCTGTTGGTTTAGCCACATTTTTCTCATCTACATATTTGGCCCAAGGCCCAAGGAAGTTGTCTATCTCTCCCGCATCTCCTCCTTTAACCTTTTTCCTCTTTTCTGGTTTCTTGTGCCCACTCTCAAAAACTGTTACACCTTTAAATAGATAATGTAGCATTAGAAAACATTAAAATAACATTAGAAAAATGTACTTAAGTGTCTTCATTGACAACATCAAGAGACAAAAATAACATTACCTTTACTTTTCTCAGCTTCCTCAACAGCTCCAATATAACTGGTAGCAGAAACCTGATTTGTGTCCACAGATGGATCCAAAGCATATCCTAATGATAATGTAAAATGGTAAACAACATATTTCACCCCAGGTCATATGTTCAAACGATGTAATATGGAGACCATACCAAATGTAGAAAATGTCCTCCTTTGTTGTTCAAACATGAAGTCGTTGACATGAGCAGGTTCTGCGTAGCCAGATAACATGTTTCTTACAGCAGACATCTGCTGTGACCTGAAGGGGTTCTCTGGACCGAACTAGAGAGAGGATACAAGCAACGGTATTATATTAAACACTTTCTATACCTTTAACCTGCAATGCCAGACTGTTTTAATATCTAGTCAACAACATTTCAAAAATATAAAATTACCTCAGGGGCAAACATGGTTTCATAGGATGGATTATAAGTAACTTCTTTCATAGAAGGGTCTAGATGCACACCGGTTTCAACAGACTCCTGAAATAAATTACAAAACAGAAAAACTTTAGCATGCCACTTGCAATCACTAGTGACAATGTCATTTAGACACAAAATCTCTAGCACACTGATTGTTTATAGACTTATTTCTGTAGATTAAATGTGAACTCTCACACAATAAATCAGCATACACCGTTTTAACTTGAAGGATAGCCCTAGAGAGAGTGTGTGAAAGATTTAGACCTGTAGACTGCATATACTTTATACATAATATGGTCTATGGTTAGATCACACCGTTTAGTTATCAGCGCAACGGAATTAGCGCGAGCTGTTAGCTAGCTAGGCTACCTTACCTTTACAGCGACTTCAGGAGCAGAGTTCAGGACGGCCAACGCCATTGTTTTTGCAGATTGTAATGGTTTAAGGTGCGCAGTGGCGTCCGGATCATCTGCTTCATTGGTGGTATTAGATTCTGACTCATTTTCAGAATCAGAATCGCTGCCGTAAGAAGCGAGGGAAGCGATGGCGGCAGACATCTTGGATGTTGTGAGTGAGGCGGAAGTTGGAGGGCGGTACTTCCGCCATAAAAAAAAAAAAAAAAAAAAGCATTATAATTTTTATTTTCAAAGTTACTTTTTTTCGACATTTTTTCACACGTTTAAAAGTATTCATTCACTATGTATTGATTTACTTAAAACTATAACTCAATAGTACACAAATGAGTATGCAACTTTTTATGCAGACACATTGTTATTTAAAAAAATATATATTATAAGAAAAATATTAGCAATTTTAAGTAAATACGCGTTTGTTTGTTAACCATAACAGCACTTTGTTGTGCTCAGCAGCGTCAGCGCAGTAGCCTACCTCCCGGAGAGAGAGGAGCAGCAGTTGCATGGGACGCTCGCTCCAACAATAGAGCGGTACGTACCACTATCTCTGACATTACTGGGGACAGTGCGTTGAATACAGACCCGATTGCCGGTTTTTTATGTGCAAAACCCCGTTTTATTTGCACAGTCAGTGCTGGTGGATGGTATTTTGTTTCGAAGTCGATCTTCATTCTGATCGTACCTGATTTTATTCACATTTGAAGATTTTTTCCCGGGAATATCCCTTCAGAAAAGTACCAGGTTCTTCCACGCCGCCGCCTCTTGAGCAGGAGTGCATTTATTTAACCGTGATCTACAGGAGACAGGACGATCATGGACTCGACCTGGGGAAACACATGCTTGGACAAAGTGGACTGCTCTGTTTCTCAGTAGCGATGGAGAGGATATAAAAAAGACAAGACATATCAGGTAATTTGATTGGATTTGTTCATATTGGTCAACTTACAGTAGCCTAGCCTACTACTGTAAGAAGCCCTCGCTATACCACAGCAGGCATTTAAAGGTCCTCTGTCAGTCTGCCCATGGAGTCAACATGTCGTAACTTAAACTAGAGCTGACTGGGATGACTAATAATGGCCATGTAATTCTACACTGTCTGGCCATCACTGCGAGTTACCTTACCGCACTCAACCTAAGCACAGGTGAACTAACGTTGACAGAGGGGGGAAAAATCTATGGAAAATGCAAGTCTAGTATTCAAGTATTCCTAACTGCAGTTTATGTTTGCATCCAGAATATACCGGGGTGCACAGGAGACATGTGCCCCCTGCTCTTTCCAGCCGCTGCTTTGACATGGAGTAACAGCATCATGCTGGTCAAAATGCACTCAAAAATAGTCTTTTTAAAGAATGTGAGATGCTTAGCTGTGTTTTGCAATATCAAATTTTCTACTTTGTGAAAAGACCAAACCCAGGCATTGCTGGACGTGATTTAATTTTCCCATTAACAATGCACTGACTTTGGCTCAGAGGAAGGGGGATATTCAGGGTCTATTTCTCCAGCAGCAAGCTATGGTTCTGCAGCAGTCATGGGGGATGGTAGCCTTGAAGCCCAGAGAAAATCATGCTTTGTGAAATTTGAAACCGTCTTTGTACTACCTCAAGTGCAACCAGTAAAGTGGGCATGAGGAATACAGTGGTTTAGTGGTTGGTGATGGGCTCTTAACATCTGGCGACAAGATGGCATTTCAGTGTAATAAGATAGATAGGTCAAACATGTAGCTTATAATGGTCTCTGAGTGCATAGATCACTCTTCAAATCTTTCTTGAAATCCTGTAAGACCTAGAAGGATGTTACAAAAACTTCTCACGGTTCTTGGATTCTTTGTTGCAGTACTGTGCGTTTCAGATAGAAATACATTACTCAGTGGTGCTGTCATCTGCCTGTTGGTTCTTGGTGAAACCTAACTCCAGCTTGTATTAAAAAAATATTCAAATAATGCTTAAGTTTCTGTTTGGCTGCAGGGTTGAACTAAAATGTAACCCAGGTTAGTGGCATACTTTTACTGCACGGGGGTTAATGTAATAATTTTACAGCAGCATGTATTTCCCTTCAGCAAATGGCAGTGCTTGAGTGAAAGTAGAGCGTTGAAGCCTATAGTATGCAATGGCACAAAGTCTATTAGAACAAAATACGCTGAGGCCTCTTGCAGCTGTTAAATTTATCATTCTGCAGCGCTGGCATCCAACTATCACATGGTTGAGTGGAAACTGGGCTTCATAATAGCTCAGAGGGACTGCGTTTTCCTACATGAAAATAAGAAGATGCACTGTGTAAATTGGCAAATATTTATTTAAAAGAGCTGAGGCAAAGTTAGGAGTTTTGGGGAGTAAAAACAAAAATGTCAAATTCTAATTCTGTCACAAATCACATTTTTACAAAGGCTGATTTGCCAGTTTACCTTAATACAGTCATTGGTATAACAGCTTGCTTTTGTAGGTTTTCCCATGCACAGAAAATAGCCCAGCTCAAAGTTTAAACTCCTCCTATGCTTTACTCTTTAAGTGAAGTGACATTCCTGCTGCTCTGTTTGCACAACCTTATGTTTTTCCTTGTGTTTCCAAGGGACCTTTTTGATTCAAGAGTTTTGGCTTACCTCCCACTGAGATAGACGGTTGGACCTTTTATTATGTTGACTTTGCTCTGATCTTTTGCCAGTTTGTGCCATAGCAAGAAAATATGTCTTTTACTTCACCTCCTTGGTCGCACTGGAGGTAGAGAGAAATCAATTACATTATATGACAGTATAAAGTCATTGTTAGTTATGGCTTCCTCACATGACAAGAAGGTGGGCAGAGGATTGTGGGAAATGTGTTTAGTGTAGCAAATGACAGTGTGGCTATCTCCCAGCTGTTGGGATGCTCCAGAGGCTTTGGCACACTGGGACTATTGTTCGGGTCTTGGCTGGGCCCACAGCCTCATAATACAGCCTCTGTCCGGCCTACACTGGCCTGAGACAGGACACCCCGGTTTATATTTGCCTCACTGGAGCTTCTTGTGTCTCACCACTAAATGTACAATTGAAATTACTTACTGTTGCTCCATATCTGTACAGTGGGGCTGTAACAGCAATATAAGCTTGGAAAATAAAATATACTTTATGTTCTGGATTTTTGTGAGTGACTTTTAGTTCTTCTGTTGTACTACCGCTGTTCATATTTGGTTAGGACAGTGCATGTTAATGAATATACATGAGACCCATGCTTATGTAAATAGAAGGTAGCCATGGGCTAACTACAGCTACATTTGCATTCACTAACACTCTCATTATTGTAACAGATTTGTGTAGTTCAGAGGTTCTCAAACTGTACCACCACCACATCTAGAAAATTAACCATCTTTTGGAAGATTTGAAACATGGAGTAATTTTCTGTGAAAGTAGGTCTGTGCACTTTGCCAAATGTTAATTGAGATTTAGTCATTTCTTTTAGTCAATGATATACTTGGGTCCTTTTTAATCGAGAGGTACCGCCAATCCTGTGATAGTAAAATCATAGGGTTAGAGCACAGTTTAGACTTTGGAAAAATACTTCTATTTTTCTTGTACATTTCAATTATTAAATGTCTGCATGGTTTTTGAGACTGAATTATGTGACATAGTTTTTTATTATTTTTTATTTTTTTCTTCCATATCACAAAGCCCTAGCTCAAGACTTATCTAAGTAATATTTAATGGCATTTAAACTGGTTGTTTATTCATTTACTCTTCTTTTTCTAGATTATTACCACCATTTACCATTTAAATCTCAGTATGTCTTATAACTTATGTTTGAATCATAAACAAACTAGCTGGTTTTCTTCTATGATTTAACTTTCCAGACAAATTATGCTCGTACAGCTGTCACAGTGTCCTGTACCTCAACACATAATGCTAGCTTCAGATACGTAAAGGTTAACTGTCTCTTGAGGAGGTTGTACTTTGTACTTTCTGTACATGCCCGGTGCTGAGGACTAAATATCAGATACTGTATTTGTATCATCAATGACAGAACTCTTTTGTTTACAGGACTTTTAATTTTTTATGTGATCACAACACTAGAGTATCCCATATCCATCCCAGCTCCATCCTATTCAGCTCAAAGCCAAAGGCAGCCACCGGATGTTTGTTCCACCTCTCCCTGGTGTCATGTGTGCGCGGATGTTTCTCTGTAGTGTATTTAAAGGTCCTATACTACGCAAAATTGATTCTTGTTAGCTTTTAACCATGTGTTAATGTTGTTTCCTTGTCAAAAACATACCTGGAGTTGTGTTTAGTTTGATTCACACATGTTTGAGTAATCCTTTATTATTAGGCTGTCTACATCTCCAAAGCTCTTTTGAGCAATTAAGGCTTTTCGTGTATTACTACATGACATCTTCAGGTGTAACAGAGTGTTTCTGTTTGAGAGAAGAACTAAGCCAAAATGCAGGGTTTGTTTGTTAAACATGTGTGGATTAAACAAAACACTCCAGGTATGTTTCTGATGAGGAAATAACATTATAACATAGATCAGAGAATAGCATAATATGGGCATGTTAAGAAAAACACTGTATAGATTTTACATTGGCATTTAACTTAAATAACATCTGGACTCGGGCCCTAATGAAGTTATTCAGTGATTTTGTTATGGATTTGTTTGTTAGTCTGTGGGTATGAGTGATGTGGAGATAAAAATCAAACATGGTGACATTTTCTTCATGACGAGTGGAACTAATTATTATCTAAATGCCACATTTAACCACAGCTGTCTTTCTGCCTAAGTTTTACTGCAGTTTTAATACATTTTAACAGTTCTAATGTGTGAATGGTTCTTAAATTACACTTAGCCCACAAAGCAAGCTTGTGTGTTGGCAGTGTGCTTGTGGAGTAAAAAATATCTCCACAGGTGCCTTTTGAGTTTTGAATATGCAAAGCTAAGCAAATCTCCAGCTCGTAGATTCTCTCCTGAATTGAGTGTGCCTCCCTGTGCGTGGCCTCTCCTCCATCTTCCCCCTCTCCTCCCCCTCTCCTCTGCTTCTCTGATGGGCTCTCATTGGGCTGGAACGCCACATGCCCCTCTCGCCCCACTACTTTGATTGATGGAGGTTGCTGTAATCTCTATTGAAGACCATTCTTGCAGTCTGCAGCTGGATTCTGGCTTAATTGTTCAATTACAGATTTCATTAGGAAATTTCTCTGTGATCATTTTTCTTTTCCAACTGCAGAAGGAGACAAGATGGGCGATACGGAGAGAGCAGCAAAAGAGGCAGTAAGGGATTTGCTCGAAGTGTGAAGAGAAAAATTAAATGAATGATTTGTTTCATTACAATTTTAATTTAGTTATTAGGCTCAATGAAATGCACTTAGCCAGACAAATTTAGTTTTTCTCAATAAAGTTGCAAATAAAGAGGTACTTAGTATTTTTGTTCAACTTCTGAGTGGTTAAAGTCTCTCAGTAACTACAATCCTGAGTAGGGCTAGTCAATCTATTAGTGACAACATTATCATCATCATTATTGGTCACTATGTTGAATGCTTTTTTTATTGGAACATAAAATATTCACATTAACCTTCACTACATGATCCTTGTGTTTTTATTTCACTGTCTTCCATAAATTAATTCCTATTCATAATATGGAACTTGGCTCCGCATTAATATAACTGCTAGCCTTGTGAGCTTCTTTTGACTGGAGCTGAATGCGATGGTAATGTTACACTCCCTTTCTTTATACAGTCTGTGGTCTGATATGGAAAAAAATCACAGCAATGAAAATACAAAAAAAAACAAAAAAACAAATTACATTATATATTATATTATTACGTTTCCCTAGACTTTAAATGGGATGCTAGTTGATGGGCAACCAAAGCAGATTTACACATTTCTGGCATGTGTAGGAATTGAACAGGGGCCACAGCATTTTTATTTTGCTCCATCTTGAAAACATGTCTT